AAATGTGATTTTGTCAGTGAATTAAGTAAAGAATACTAGATATTTCCAAGGATTAAATGAATATAAAAGATGTAACTCGGCGATTTTACTTCTTTTATACTGTTTAATTCTCATGCCATGGGAGACATTTTATCAGCAAGATCTGAATGTCCCTTACCAATGCTTAATATTGTGTAAGCGAGTGCGCCTGCGCTAGACAGAATTTAACGACTAGAAATGGTTTCAAAACTAACGAGCACAATTGATTAGTAAGAAAGAAAAGACAACTAGTTTTCGTAAGATTGAAAAATTCCAGGACCTGCATCATTTTTTATCCATTGAGCAAGCTCTGAGTAGTACATTAAGACTTGCTATGATAATGATTTATAAAAACACTTTCATATCGAATCAGGTTAGGAAAACCATTTTATGCCCCCGTATCGAAGATTCGGGGGTACATAGTTTTTGCCCTATCCGTCCGTCTGTCTGTCTGTTTGTCCGCAAAAACCTTAACCTTGTCCATAACTTTTGATTGGTTGGAGCTATGACTTTAATATTTCACATGTGTATTCCTTGTGACAAGACATTTTTTGGGGTACCATCATATTTGACATTTTGACTTTGACCTTGGAGTTTGACCCACTTTTGCAAAATTTCATGATACTTTAATCTTGGCCATAACTTTTGAACAGTTGGTGCTTGGGGTTTCAAACTTCACATGTGTATTCCTTGTGACAAGACCTTTCTGTGGATACAACAACTTTGACCTTTTGACCTTGACCTTGGAGTTTGACCTACTTTCGAAAATCTTTAACCTTGCCCATAACTTTAGAATGGTTGATGCTAGGGCTTTCATATTTAATATGTATATTCCTTGTGATAAGACTTTCCTTTGGATACCAATCACTTTGACCCTTTGATCTTGATATAGGAGATTGACCTACTTTTGAAAAACTTTAAGCTTGGCCATAACTTTTGAACGGTTGGTGCTAGAGCTTTCATACTTCATATATGCAATCCTTGTAACAAGACCTTCCCTTAGATACCAATTACTTTGACCCTTTGACCTTGACCTAGGAGTTTGACCTACTTTTGAAAAACTTTAACCTTCGCCATAACTTTCGAATGGTTGGTGCTAGGGCTTTGATATTTCACAAATATAATCTTTGTGACAGGACCTTCTTTTGGATACAAACCACTTTGACCTATTGACCTTGATCTAGGAGTTTGACCTACTTTTGAAAAACTTTTAAACATTTGGTGCTACGGCTTTCATACTTCACATGTGCATTTCTTGGGACAAGACTTTCCTTTGGATACCAACAATTTTGGCATTGACCTTGACCTTGGAGTTTGACCTACTTTAAAAAAAACTTTAACCTTGGCCATAACATGTGAACGTTTGGTTCTAGGGTTTTCACACTTCACGAACAAGTATCGCAAGACCTTACCTTGGGGCCCCATTTGACCTTGACCTTGACGTTTTACTTACTTTTAAAAAACTTCAACCTACGCCATAACTTCTGAACAGTTGGAGTTAGGTCTTTCAAATTTCACAGGTATATTCCTCGAGACAAGACCTTTCTTTCAGGGCCAACATCTTTGATCTCTTGACCTGGAGTTTGACTTGCATTTGAGAAACTTTAACCTTCGTCATAAGCTGCCATACTGGGGCATCGGTGTTTCACAAACACATCTTTTTTTAATATAAAACATTTGGCACGATTTATTGAGACAAGAATAAGATATATTTATTAATATTATTATTAGCATAGCTTATACTGTGACAGTTCGATATGATATAAATATTACTGAGATCTGAAACGGACAGCAATTTACAAACTTCACAAGAAATATCATATAGAGCTTCTCTGATACTTTCTTAAATAAATCAATAGAACAAACAGAAATCACGATAATCCGGTACATACATTATACTGAATTTAGAAAAAGAAATTGTTAAAATCCGTCATAAACATTATTGTATCATTTAGCCAGTGTTTATTATTGTTCAAAATACATTATATGTAAATGTAAAAATGTAAATCTTTCAAAACACGCATTTCTCTTTTGTTTGTCATTGAAACACAATTGAAAAGGAAATACTGTTCATAGCATAACGTAATATCCAAAAAGGTATACTACCTTGTAATTTGAAACACAGCATAGCATCAGTTAATTAAGAGGGAGGGATATTTCAAAACATCCTCTACTTTTTTGCGATTCTTAAATCTAAATTATCAGCATTTCCGAGTGTTTAAACAATTGATTACAGACGTACCATCCAAAACATCATCTTTTTGCAATCTTTCAATTTTCAATTAATAATTGCTCCTTGATCACTCATTAAATATTGATATAACCGGATCATGATAGTAAATACAATTTCTTTTATTCCTTTTACAGATACGATTCGTAGAGATCAGAGATAATTGAATTCAAGACAATTTGGAAAAGGGTCATAACAGGGCGGTTGCCACCTAATGACAGTGATTCATTTTGGTGTGCGTCCTGCGTAAATTACGCACAAATTTTGCCCAGGACGCATTATTTCAATAAATGTGCATCCCAATGGACGCAAAAAATTTATAGAAGGACATGTACTATTTTAAATTATTTCGGTATAATCTGATTCAAAACTTGACTGATTGCATCATATCCACGTGCTAAGCGATATGCATGAACGATTTTAACAGGTATAAGGTTGCCAACAACAGGTCAGATTTCACAACTGCAGTTAAAAACAATCATCAGAAAATATTTGAGAGTTAGATAGCATAGTTCGATTAACACTGATTATGTCTATATGTTTCTGAAACGAATACTATACCTTTGTATTTAAGCTGTAACCTGTATCATTGTTTTTTTTTTCTTTTCGTTTTTTCCTTACAAGCTTAGAAGTATAAAATTTAATCATTTTGTCATTTCTTCTTAAACTTTTTTTACTTCATTCTGCTTCTGTGCATTTTATGACTGATACAATATGTGTGAGATCGTATGTACGATCTAAAAATAGAACCAAAGTGCACAGTGGACAATATATTATTTTTATTTTATTTTTATGACACAAAATCTTACTTGGACAATTGATAGATAAAGTATAAATCACTCACAGCTACAATAAAACATTTGCACTTTCGTGCAATACCCTTTTTTTATTTAACCAGAATTTCCTCTGTATCATTTAATATACGGTACCCTTGGATTTGGACGCATTAATTTTAGCACGGGACTCATTGTTGTCATTAAGAGGGGTCCTTTGGACCCATGATAACCATTTTCAAAATGAATCACTGCTAATGATGCTTAATAGATTTTGAGCGCTTTATGTTTGACACTCCTGAATGGACTCCTTTACTAAAAGGGGGAATATAAGCGCCCGGGTACCCAACACATCCTTTATCATTAACACGGATTAATAAAAAAGTATTCATAAAAAATGACGCTGCATGATAAGAATTCGGTGCTCTTGGTCCCAAAAGACTCCTCCCCAGCATAAATACCGTTTCCGAGCGCCGGGACACAAAAGCAAGACTTCTCTTGAAAAATATTGAGATACAGCATTTTCATTAAATGAACGTTCCCCAAAGGAGGTGGGTAAACAAAACATGCAGAATGTCTATAGCTTCAGATATATAAAATTCATATTCAGTTTGTGAATTCAGTATTTAGCAGGCCCGTAGGAAGCAAATTCAGTTTGGAGGGGGGCACAGCCATGCATTTTCAGTTGACAGTTGAGGGGGCACTACCAAAAATTTCCTGACAAGCAAAAAAGAAAGGTCATCAGACGTTTTTATTGAGGGGGCACAAGCATATAGTATCTATGTTTACTATAGTAATCCATATATCGGCACGTCCCCCGTGCTAACCCCCCACCCCCCTCCCCAGTTCTTACGGCCATGTTTGGAGTAAAGTTCTCATTATTGATATTTATGAAATTATGATAAACAAAACTTTTCTGAGGAAGATTTTCTCGGCAAAAATTAATCTATTATTGAAAAATAATACGATATTCGTGGAGTTCGAATCCTAGCAATCAAAACTATGTTTGTGATATGACCCTTGACTAAATGGACCAAGTATTTCTCGGAAAGATGCGAATGTTGTGTCATAAAAGTGCATTTTAAGGTAATAGGTAGAGTGGGTCTTTGCCCCATGCATTTGTTTATCAAAATATGCATAATTTTACGAGGATAAACTTTCAAAAAAATGGAGGGAAGGCTCACTCACATCGAAAAATTGTGTTATAGAATGAGAAAATGATCCTTTTACCCTCTTTATTGTGAGTATGCTATTTCATAGACAAATAATTTAAATCTTTGTGAGATTACTGCAACTTGTTGAGATTTTTCATGAAGGATACTTTAATGTTAGATGAAATATCAAAAAGTATTTTGTTATTAGAAGCTTTTAATTTTTCACCTTCACGTTTGTCGCACTATAGGCATTTCGCTCGCCTTGTTCGCCTCTCTTCTTAGGTCATCCTTATTTTTCAATTCAAATAAAGCTGTAAATAACGTCATGGCTTTTCTCAATTTGATAATTAATAAATGATATTTTGTAAGACTGCATGAGGACACCAATCGCAAGAGAAGGAGCCATAGGGGAACATTAATACATGTAATAAATTTTATTACAATTAGCACTAGCTCATTAAGTATTTAGCAGATACCAAAAAAATACTAATTACTTTAATCTGCTGTCACCAATATATTACATTTCATATCCTTCTGTTTTCATTTACGAAGAGTGACAACTCTTCTTTCTTAGTCCGAATTTCTCTGTTAAATAATCAAGCTAAAAATACATAATTTCGCGATTTTTTAAAAAGAATTTATATTTCATTTCACCTTACACCATTCGTTGAAAAGTGGTCGTGAGTGTCAGTCCATAAGCAATCTGAGATCTTATTGATTCAGTATTATATAAAGCAGGCACATTACACGTAGTACCGAGTACACGTGTATCACATTATAAAACACGCATCTATTATATCAACAAAACAAAAAATGGACAAAACCTTTCTATATTGCAAGGTTTTATTCTTTTGTTAATTGAACGTACTTTATTTCCTCTTTAAACTGTGTAAATTAGATATGTACATTGAAGTAATTATTGAACTCACTCGCATGGCAGGAGTTTCTAAAATATTCACTAACCATAACAATGCATAATACGCATAAAAGGCAACATCTCATTCACAGAATGAATATAAAGAAAGTTAAAGAATTCCATAAACCCTGAAACTTTTTTCAAACACATAAAACTGCATATGATTCATTATCCGTCTCTTCCTAAAAAAAATAGTTTTTAGAACCGGATTTTTCCTGGCACATACTTTTCTACAAGCTTTGAGTAGTACTTGGTGAGGTTTTCCACGTCGGGGAGATCGGAGCGTTTAGTGTACAGGTCGAACTGATTGAACTCCAACACCCACTTCTTCATCTCCAAGTCCTTGTTGCTGCATAGGTAACTGTAGGCGTTGCAAGTATGCCAGGGATAAAAGGAATGAAAACGTATGATAAAGAGAGCTTCTTCTGGAAGATTGTGTGGATGATTGAGAAGCACGCGGTACATGTACTCATCGTGTCCCCAGGACATTAATACCTTGTCTAATCCACAGTTTTCCTCGTAAATCCCGAGCCTCGTATTCAACTTTTCGTCCTCCATATCAGGGTTATCTTTAAAACTTTCCCGCCCAAAAACTATGTTGTCGTCTGGAGCGCAGCCGACGACGAAAGTGTCTCCCACTGTGGACCACTGGGGCTCTCCCCATAGGGCCATTACTTTGCCTACGTCGTGAATAAGTCCTGTAACTTGCAACCATTCTTTATCTGGGTGCTTTTCTCGAATCCCCTCAGCAGTCTGGAATGCGTGATAGGCATTTGGAATGTCTACATCCGGGTCACTTTCGTCTTTGAAAGAATTCAAACATGCAAGAGCCTCCATCATTGTCATTTCAGCGTGGTTGAACTTTCCTGGGAAAAAAAATATAACACAAAGTTACAAGGATCTCTAGTCCAACAGAACAAGCTCAGAGTGAGTATCCGTTGTCCAAATATGTGTTCAAAATCATTAAATTCATCTAATTCCTACATAGACAAAACGCAAATTTATTGAATTTGAAATTAATTTTGTGGTTTGTCCACTAAAATGGATGCGTTTTATTCAATCACATGGGCATCAATAAGTCTCTCGTGAACAAAAGAAAACACAGATGTAATAGACTGCTTTATTTTACCCTGAAAGAGATAACAATATTTAAGCAAAACAGACCAAAAAGTTTCAATTTCATTGATAATTTAATTAATATTGTTTAATAATCGAAGCATTTTTGTGCCTCCGAATTTGAATCTATATGTCTTAAGTCTTGGTATCTTCTTATACATTTTTTAAACTTTGATTTCCGTAATAAGCTCTTCTATTTTTTTTCTCTTTTTTCTTCCAGTTCTTTTTTTCTTCTATTTTTTCTACTTCTTTCTCTCCTCCTTGCACCCTAGAGTTTCCTCCTCAATACTTAATGTCTGTTTTTTTATACCGGGATTATTGCACACATGATTGTTCATTGAACTTCTGAATAGTTGAATTGAAACATAGTTGAAATATTTTGTCAGTTACATTCTCAAGAGTCGACAAATAAGTGTATGTTGTAAATTATGAATTTACTTGATGGAGGTCAATGCAAAATTTACAATATGATGCATAGTCAAAGGAGGTGTTATAACTTTTGAAGAGAAGGGAAAGGGCGAACAAACAGTCTCAACTGATGAATTGCTACTCGACAGAAAAGGGTCATTCTTAATATCTAGGAACCTCTGACTTCATGAATTATAACAAGATGTACCTTATATAATAGGATATAGACATGTTACTCTTCGTCAGCTTGGGGAAAGATGCATTTTGATTACAATTGGATCTTTGATTCGCCTTCAAAGATATGTCGCTTTATAACAACATATAAAATCTGAATGCAGAATCTTAATCTGATTTTAATCACACTAGTCTAAAGGAGCAGGACTTTTATGTGTGTTTCCCGTCAGTTAATATAGTGTCTTCTTCATGTCGTAGTATTTAGTTGTAGTTTCTGCACAATTTTTTTTCTCCGAAATTTAATATCAGTATCGTAAGTACCCATTTCTCTGGGACAAACTGTCATCAGCTTTTTTTTTTTTTTGGTGTTTCAATCTTTATTGTCATGTTTCTGCAAAAAATGTTTTAAAATATTTGTTCAAACAAGTAAAGAGGATAAATAAATCATAACCTGTACTTGTTTGTATTAGAGAAAAAATAAAGATTCGAAATTTTACATTAGAAATTTAAAGTAGAAGAAATTTACAAAATTATTATAATAAAATTTTCCATTTTTCGAGAAAGAATTGAGAAATTCTTGAATTGATATTAATAATGATATGCTATTTAGTATATACATGTATTTCTTCAGCAGACTTTTTATACCCCTTGATAACCCATTCTAGGTTCATAAAGCTATATAACAGAATCGGTATGCAAATTATTTCTGATGTTAATCTCAGAATTTTTATAACAATAACTAACAGTTCATTTTAGAATGGGCATGTATGCATGCATGTACATGTGTACATACCTTAAACTTTTGAACTAATTAAAGAACACACCCGAGGAGTTCTGGGAGATATGTAAAAGGCCGATAACTACCTACAAGATCTGACCTTTCGAGTAATTTCTAGAAGAGTAAATTTTATATACATATGTAAAGAGACGAAGTTGCAGGTTTTATATACCACAAACCGAGGTTGGGGGACAATTTCATCCACCCGATGACATCGAAACTACTATTTTAACTTTCTGCAGGACCCGTCTTGAGAACTTTCAGCCAAATATGGAATTATGAAGGTTTCTGAATCAGATAAGTGTAACTTTTTAAAATTATCATCAATCTACTATTTAGAAATTTATATCGACAACTCAATCGTGTTCAAATAAGTCAATCAATAAGAGGTTAGGTAAATTCAGACACTAATTGAAGAAATTTATCTTGCCTATAGGAAAAATTGTCATTCATGTGATATTAGTGTATTAGAAGAGATTGTTTTGTCCATACTCTTCCTTAATTTGTATTTGGTTTCTCTTTTATTTTGCTTTATTTTTGAAATATTGCTTTTGACTTTCATATCCTAGGAAAAAGAAAAATGCTGAACCTGCATATGCAAAAACGAAGTACGAGCAAAAATTTAGAAGAAACCAAAGAATAAATAGGTCACTCAAGAAAAACGGGTGTAACGCAGCAATCCATATATATATATATATATATATATATATATATATATATATATATATATATATATATATATATATATATATATATATATATATATATATATATATATATATATCATAAAAGAAAAAGAAAATGCACAGTTTCGAAATTTCATAGTGTTGAATGAAATTTGGAAACTGTGCATTTTTTTTTCTTTTATGTTAATTTTTACTGTGTGACAATATATATATATATATATATATATATATATATATATATATATATATATATATATATATATATATATATATATATATATATATATATATATATATTAGAGAATAACAGTGTAGAATGTTGTTAATTAATGTAATTATAATTTATATATTATGTTTTTACAGGACTTTCGTTTCTTTAAAACATTTTAAACTGAAAGCGATTTATTCTTGTATTTTTCGCCTGGATTGTGAATATGTATGTTTAAATATCCCAGAAGCGTATGTTTTATTGCTGTAGAATTGAAGGTGTTTTTTTCCTTCCAGTTTATCTTCTCATTTATTTGAAACGTGCTTGTAATTTTAATCGAGAAGAAGATTTCAAATGGGTCATCGATAGGATGATTCATGCTGGCGCTGATTAATTATGTATGAAATCCTGTTCCTAGCTATTCTTATATGATTTGTTAAGTATGTGGTGATGGGCATCCAATAGCTTTAAAACAGGACTACGGAGGAAGTTTTAAAATAAATGTACTTGTTAATAAATAATAGAAGTTGCACGTATTTACATTTCCTCTGTTTCCTGCATCATATTTCTTTATATTATGCATGCACCTGATATAAATATGTGGATCAAATAATAGAGTCAGATTTAACTTACTGTATGTAAAACCTGCAATCTGAACGCCTTTTTTTTCGTGGAAACTGTGTATCGGAAGTAATATGCATGCACATTCTTATTCAGACTTTAAATTATTAGTAAAAAGATTTAAATGTCCGTGTCTGTCCTGAAAGGATACTTTATTTATGCCTGATAAGATATAGTAGTCATTTAAATTTATTTTTTTCTGGTTTTAAAGTATATTCATACTGCATAAAAACCATGACAAAGTTTAGGGAAATTTCCTACATTATTTTCCTCTGCAGATGTCACGGAACTTCATTCACTTTTTGAATTGCTATCAAATGAAGCAGCTGGCATTTTAATGATTCAAAGGAGATTATTCATTTAATTTGGACTTACGTTTGCCTTCAAAACCCAGTTTTTGTTACTTTTTTATGTGTTGGTAAAGTAAACAAATTTAAACCAATGAGAGTGCGAGATATTGTAAACTTCCGGACATTACCACTAAAACGTTTTTAAAGGGTGCATGGCTTTATGAAAGAAGATTTTTTAATTATTTATGTTTTTGATTTTGGATTACGTTTGTGCAAATTGATCTGACTCACATATTCAAATGTATTAGAAATATACATTAATTATTCAACCAAATGAATGACGGCAGTGACACTTGATATGGCTGAGTTCAATCAATATTGGAAATCTCTCTTACCCCAGTATTCCATCTTCTTTTTCACATACGCCAGAGTCTGATGTGTATGCATCTGCCTGTATGTCTCTACCACATGTGCAGGAGTGGTGTGGATGTTAAAATTTCGGAAATCTTCTATCTTTTTGTGCTCCGGGCGATACTCTGAGGGGTCATCCAAAGGAATAGGTTTGTCTGGGAGGGGCACGCCACTCGGGGGAGTTAGGGCATCGGCAGACATTTTGGTGTGTGTTCTCCTCACAAATGGTTAACGCGAATGAGGCCCATACATCAGCACATAACAGAAATATAGGTTGAAAACCTATAACCAGTTTAAACTGCTTTACTTCTTAAGCTGATATGGTTTATTTGTAAATAAATATGACGTATGCACGCATATAAATATAGCGGCCAGGTCATTTTACCACGCTTGCGCGATACATTTAAATACATGTAGGTCGTAGCCGAATAGCTCTCCATGTATCTTTAGAATAGAGGAGAAAGAAAAAAAAATCCTATTTTTTATTATCAGAATTAAGCGTACTTTTTTGTTATTCAAAATTTATTTATTTATTTATTTATCTTTTTAAATTATTTATTTAGTTGATATTTATTTTTTATTTTTTTTTATAAATTTCATTTATTTTTTATTTAGTAAATTTAATTTTAGTTTTTAATTTTTTTTAAAAAATTTATTTTTGTTTGCATGTGAAGCCACATCTACCCCCTGAATTGAAACTTGGGAAAAGAGAATCACGATATATTTATTTAATCCAGGAAAAAGGCTCAAGATTGACACTAGTTGACATACATATAGCTTGCGTGTTCCTTTGTATTAAAGCAGTGATAATTGTTAAAGCGTTCATTAGAATCAAGATTGTTAGCACACTTATTTGTGAATAACAACATGCCTTGATTGACACCTGACCAAATGACAATTACATAAAATGCATACACGTACTAATTGTATTATTATGTAGACAAAACTGACACAGCTAGCCTGAAATCAGGACGCTGGGTCAAGCTAGGCTATATGGACTTGGTAACATCAATAGAATTTAACACACATGACTGTACATATCTAAATGTTTTGTCGCATTCAGACAGACATTTATCAAACAATTTATCTGACAAGTCAAATGTAGAATACAAAACACTCCATTCCATAATCTAGGTGTGTTAATTGAACATAAAATGCTCCAATGATGCACATCGATTTTTATGAATTGATTTTCCATTATATTTCCACAAATTTACTAATTACTTTATTCGGGATATAACTTTGGGCAATACAGCCCATCAGTTTACAAAAAATAACATATAATAACATATACTACAAACTTTGAAATCTCATGATATCTGCAGGCATAGGATGGAAAAACGTTTTTTTTTTCGATTTATCCTGAATGAAAGGCATTTTAACCAGGCACAGAACATTATGAAATCTTACAATATCTTCGATATCTTACAATATCTTACGATATCTTCAATACTTTTAGAATTATAAGAATTTTTAACAACTGTCAGGCAAGTTGATTGCATATTTCTACATCAAATGGGCTTCTGTTCATCGGATTTTCCTGCTTACGTGTATTCCAAACTAATCTAAACAATACTAGCAAAGCAATTAACAAAAAAAAAAAAACTACTAATAGTAATAACTTTTCCTGATAAAAGTTCATGATTACTTTGGAAAGCTAACTGTAATTTAAGTTAATAAATGACTATCCAAGCAATGAGTAATTCAAATGCAGTGAAGAAATTTCAAAGTGATTGTAATTTAATTAATTACTTTTCAAAGTAATTGGTCACATTTCTGCTGTGAATTAAAATTAATAGTAAACTGACTGCTCCACCATTGTACAGATTTAAATATACAGCAGTGAAATTTTTTCAAGGATTCAGAATGTAAAATAAGCGAATTGGACAGAGAACAGAATTTTAGATTTACCTAGACTACCATTCTTTTACATGGAATAGAGACTGGACGATTGATATGGATATTTTCACTTGAATCTCTGTGCAAACATAGTTTATCTTTGCTAGTGGCAGTCCTTCTACTCAATCTCAATCTCTACTCAATGACTGGTCGATCAATATATTCTCTTTCAACCATCTTTTTAAGAATTAAAACCGCTATATTTCTTATATGAAAAGGAGTGCTAAAATATGGACAATACTACAGATAAGTTGTTTAACTTGTCTTGTGCTTATCTGCAATGCAACCCAAACTTCATTTAGATCTAGAATGCAATATTATTCTCTCTCTAATGCATCAATGTAATATACATATCATTGATTCGATTTCAATATTTTTTATTATGTAAAATACATAAATGGATTAGATACCAGATTTGCCTATATAAGATTTAATAGCAGGATCCTCACATACACACCTAAAATGTGATGTACATTTTATGTACATTGTCAAGCGAACACCCCGTGAAGAAAATCTGTTTTTCAATGCATTGAATTTGCTTTTAGATTAATTGAAGTGGTTTATCTGCTGGAAGTAAACACATTCTGGGTTCAGGTCACAATATGGGATTCATAAAGTTGGCATTTTGAGTACCAAATATCCTTGATCTAATTTCTTATCCACCCGGGGTATTGTTGATCCTCTGCTGTGCCCTCTGGTACACAGACAAGAGCTTTGCTATCATCGTGGCGAAGAATTTTCAACTAACTAGAATTCGAAGAGTATATATCCATGGTTGACTCTAATGAATAACTATATAAAAAGAATATAATTAAAAAAATGCATGTATACAGATAACTCTAAATTGACTTATTTTAAAGATGTCAATTACATAAATGTGAAGTGCACAAAAATGGAGAATTTGTTATTTGTAGTGCATATAGACTTTCTTATTATTAGTTTTGTTTTTTAATTTTAGCATTGGAATACGAACGATTGGATAGAAATCTTTGTCCAGGCAATATTTTTATTTTAGGTAATTTTTACTATATCTTTTTTATTTAAATAAAATTACCATGCGACGCTTAAAAGTTAAGAACAACCTTGTAAAGGTTCTATGTAATGGTAAATAATTAAAAGAATTGAAACTCAAAACTGAGAGAATAAAGATGATCAAGGATCAACAAAATAGTTACGTATATGACAAATAGAGCCCCGTCCTAACACCAGAACCTCTGGTCCAGGGGACAAAAATTTCAAACTTTTGGAAGAGACACCCTTGCTTTTATATCTTTGCATTTTAATTTGTCTGCTTATTATACAAGATGAGGGAAGACTTTTGAAGAATTAATGCATTTTCACTATAAGGGAAAAATTAAAATAAAATATAAACAGGGTGTCTTAGAAGATAGACAATGATTTATTTAATAAATGCATTTACAATGTATAAGTATAGGGTTTATTGTGAAATGGATTCCACAGTGCTGAATTTTGTAGAAAATGTCGTTCTCGCCATGTTTACTGGTTATTGAAATAATAACTTCCAGGATATCAATATAAACAATTTAGTACGTACATGCATTCAAAGGCGGATCCAGCACCGGCGTGCCTGGCGTCCTCCCCCCCCCCCCCCCAAATGATTGAGATTTTTTTTTTTGCTTGTGTACATTTTGTTTGTTTAACCTGTTTATACTCTCCATTTATCCACACGTAACGTTCAGGCACGTAGTTTCAATGCTGATTCGAACTCAATCTAATTAAAATTAGATGTTCCGAATCCGCTACCGCTTCTCAAGAGAAGCGGTAGCGGATTCGGAACATCTAATTTTAATTAGATTGATTCGAACTGGAAAAATGTTTCATGTCGAAAAAAATCTTAACCTACCCCCTACATATGTAAATGGTAAAGTTTTACTTGAATCATTACCACTATGAACATAATGATATTTTCCCACGACTTTTATTTTACTTTTTTAATTTTTGTCATATTGTAAATATACATTTAATTAATTATCAATATACTGAATGTAGAACTATTTTGCTTTAATTTCTACGCCTACAATATGTGATGCAGGAACTATAAATATTTCATGTAATCAAAGTTCTCATTTAATAGAACACCCCCCCCCTCCCATAAAACATGTAAAAAAAAAAAAAAAAAAAAGTATTACCTGTGTACTGACTGCTTCCTTTCCCCCGAACAACAAAATAAAATTAATATTGCTTTCTGTTTGTAATGAACAAAAGGCCATCTACTTTCACGAGTTAAATTAAATTGAGGTATTCTTAACATTTTATTAGACCAAGATAAAGTAATTGAATACAGTATTTACATATTGATTACCGATGTAAGTAAACAACAGTGAAATCTGTTCACTAAAACTTAATTGTCTTTGAACAATTTTCCTGGGGAAATAATTTAAGGCAGGCACTTCATCCTTGAAATGAACTAGATTAGCTCATAATGTACACCTTTGTATGATAAAATGTTCTCAAAGTCTAAAAAATGTTTTTTTCCTAATTGGTGTTTAGAGCTTCCTTAAAACACACGCTTGCGTAGGTTGTCGTCACAAAGGTATAGATTACTTAGAGGAAGTAGTAAGGGATCCGCAAGGGGGGGGGGTATCCGGACCCGACCCCAACACCCACCACTTGTATAAAATTCATATAGTAAAATACCAAAAATATGAAGGGGGAAGGGTTAAGAAAACTTTGTAAAGTTTGTAAGATATGTAGGAAGGTAAAGTGACACCCCCCCTTTCAAAATAGGTTTTTCAGGTTTGGGTTAGTTTTCCTTTTTTTTTTTAAATAAGGTTTTTTCCTTTGGGTCGATCTTTTTTTTTGAGTTGGTATGGAACACCTCACTCCCTTTTCTGGGAAAAATTACAGGAAAATTCCTCAATTGCGCTGTTACATTTTTCCGCGAGTCCACATTGCTTTTCCGCGAAAAATCTTTCTTTACCGTGAAGTACTAGTATTTTTTTTTTCTTTTCCGCGAAATCTTCTATGAACCAGGTAGTACCTTTTGCTCCCCCTCTACCACGGGGATGAATTAATGTTAAAGTCTCTTAAACATCGTTGAAAGACCAAGTAGATTGTAGGTCATCTACGTATTAACCTTCACAATGTCAAGGTTTTGTGAAATCCTTCCTATTTAAAAAGGTTTGAAGAGAAACGATATCACAAAACTTTGACATTGTGAAGATGTATAGGTTAACACGTATAAAACATCGTTAAAACATGCTGTCTGTTCAATAACCCGTAGATCCTAATATATTCATGTCGGAACAAGCTGCATTTTTTGAAAAAAAAATATTAATAGCTGATAACTTCGATGTTCGAATGTTTCCGAAACTGCTGAAAGAAAAGAATAGACG